CCTGTTGGTTTGGTGTATATTGATTTTATCATGTTTAGATATGTTCTTGTTATTCTTGTTCTCTCCAAGATCTTTATCATGAAGGGATGTTGCATTTTGTCAAAGGCTTTTTCAGCGTCTAGTGAGATGATCATGTGGTTTTTCTTTTGCAGTTTGTTTAAATGCTGTATTACATTGATGGATTTTGTATGTTGAACCATCCTTGCATATCTGGGATGAAGCCTACTTGATCATGGTCGATGATTTTTCTGATGTGTTCTTGGATTCGATTCCCCAATATTTTGTTTAGTAGTTTTGCATCGATGTTCATGAGGCATATTGGTCTGTAGTTCTCTTTTTTAGATGTATCTTTGTCTACCTCGGTATCAAATTGATTGTATCAAATTGATTGTAGCCTCGCAAAAAGAGTTTGGCAATGACACTTCTGCTTCTGCTGTGTGGAACAATTTGAGGAGTACTGGTATTAGCTCTTGTTTGAATTTCTGGTAGAATGCTGCAGTGAAGCCATCTGACCCTTGACCTTTTTTGTTGGGAGGCTTTTGATGACGGCCTCTATTTCATTATGCATTATAGGTAGATTTAAACTGTTTATTTTTTCTTGGTTTAATAAGGTGGTGATATCTATCCAAAAATTGTCCATTTCCTTTAGATTTGGAATTTTCTGGAATACAGGATTTAAAATATGACCTGATGATTCTCTGGATTTTAAGTGTTTGTTAGTATATCTCCTTTTCCTTTCTGATTTTGTTAATTAGTGTTCTCTCTCTCTCTCTCTCTCTCTCTCTCTCTCTCTCTCTCTCTCTCTCTCTCTCTCTCTCTCTCTGCCTTCTGGTTAGTTTGAATAGACGTAGTTCTGTCTTGTTGACATTCTCAAAGAACCAACTCTTTGTTTCCTTTATTTTTTGTATTTTTTTCCTAGTTTCTACTTTATTGCTTTCAGCCCTCAGTTTCTTTATTTCCTGGCATCTACTCCTCTGTGTTGAGTTTGCTTCTTTTTGCTCTAAAGCTTTCTGTTGTTCTGTCAGTTCTCTATAGTGACTAGTCTCCAGTTTCTTCATGTGAGCACTTAGTGCAATGAACTTTCCTCTTAGCACTGCTTTCAAAATGTCCCATAAGTTTGTGTATGTTGTGTCCACATTCTCATTAAATTCTAGGAAGTCTTTCATTTCTTTCTTATTTCTTCCTCAACCCAGGAATGGTGCATTTGGATGTTGTTCAATTTCCACGAGTTTGTAGGTTTTGTCCAATTTGGATTGCTGTTGAATTCTAACTTTAAAGCATGGTGATCTGATAAGATACAGGGCACTATTTCAAGTTTGTGTATCTGTGGTTTTTTGCTTTTTTGCCAGCTATGTGGCCAATTTTAGAGAAGGTTCCATGTGGTGCTAGGAAGAAGTTATATTCTTTTGTGTTTTCATGGAATGTTCTGTAGTTATATTTTAACCCCAAATGGGTCATAACTTCTGTTAGATCCTTTGTTTCTTTGTTCAGTTTCTGTCTGGTGGTCCTGTCTAGTGGTGAAAGCAGGGTGTTGAAGTCTCCTACTATAAGTATCTGGGTTTTTATGTGTGGTTTGAGCTTCAGTAATGTTTCTTTCACAAATGTGGGTGCCGTCGTATTTGGAACCTAGATATTCAGGACTGAGATTTCATCTTGATGGACTTTTCCTGTGATGAGTATGAAATTCCCTTCTTCATCCCTTTGGCTGGCATGGAGGCTCTACAGGATGATCAGGGCACTCTCCACATTGAGAACACCCTGACTCCTGTTCTTCTTATACAGAGATATGTTTCTACTTCGGCAAACTATCAAAGCTTTGAAAAAAAAGGCATTTATAGACTCTAATGGCCACCATTTGAGATTTCTTATCCATGTTTGTCTCACTGATAGACAGGGGTGTATCTGATTATCCATTCATTCTGTCATTGAAAAGTCTCATGACTTTTTAGGATTACTTTAACCCCAAATCTATAGCTCTGATAGTATTATAGTTTCCCTTTGACATTCACAACCTAATAGTCATGACACACAGCTGATGACAGCACAATTATTTCGTGGGACCCTAACATGGACAGTTAAACGCATCTGTGCATTGATTGGTTCTGATGTGATTCATTGTTTCCTGTGGATATAGATATGATTTTTTCCATTGTTTCCAACATCAGGAATACAATTCTGGGCTCTGTATCTCACACGTAAAACATGGAGTCTTTAGAGCTGCCTAGCAGTGAAAACAGATGATTTCTGTTTTATTTACTCTGAATTTATTTAATTACTACAAATCACCATAGACCATGAAGCATTTTAAATATGAAGAGAGAGAGATTTCATATCTATTTCTGAGGTCCCTCTGGGAAGTATTAACTAATATAAAGACTGTGAGATTAGGCTTTGGAGAAGTATACACACCTAAAATATCACTCTCTGAAACCATGACCCACAAATGTGTCACCATGGCCAGAGAGGGTAAAGCTGCAATCCAAGTCCCTCATGTCTCTTTTCAGATAAACATTTAATATCAAGTATACTAAAAGTTTGTGAGTTGCTCCCTCACAAGCTTAAATTTCTAAATGAGTGGTAAGAATAACATTAACTCAAATGACACTAAGAGAAAAGAGAAAAGATTCCTACAATGTTATTATTCTGGTTTCAAACTACTAAGAACTAAAGTACATCCTGTGACTAAATCTACTTTAATTTACAAGGATATGCACTGAGGATGTGGTACTTTCTTTGCTTGCACAGTGTGCATGTGGACTCTCTTCATGATTTCAATCCAAGTCCTGCACAGTGTGCATCACATAATTTCCTGTTTACTTGGAATTGAAAAATCCACAAAGAAGTAGAAAATTTTCCAAATATTTCATCACACAGTTCCTCTGAGAAGCATAAAGTAAATCTCAGACACCTATAGGTGAAACTGGGAACCTTGAATCTTGCCCCCTTTTATCCTCTCAGGATCCTCCCCCAATGCAAAGCAGCCTCAGGCTCAGAATGAAAGCTCAGGCCTAGCTGAGTAGCCCCATCTCCTTCTCACTGGAGCCTCCAGCAGAGCATGGCTGTCCTGGTGCTGCTCCTCTCCCTGGTGACCTTTCCAACCTGTAAGTGTTCAGAATTTGAGGAGAGAGACTCAGGCATATTGTTATGGGATGTATGACTGATGGGGATTTGTTTGTCCCCAGGTGTCCTGTCCCAGGTGCAGCTGAAGGAATCAGGACCTGGACTGGTGAAGCCCTCGGAGACCTTGTCTCTCACCTGCACTGTCTCTGGGTTCTCATTAACCAGCTATGATGTAAACTGGGTCCGGCAGCCTCCAGGAAAGGGTCTGGAGTGGATAGAAGCAGTGTGGGCTGGTGGAGCTATAAAATACAATTCAGCTCTCCAACTCCGAGTCAGCATCAGCAGGGACACCTCCATGAGCCAAGTTTTCCTAAAACTGAACAGTCTGCAAATGAGGACACAGCCATGTATTACTGTGCCAGACACACACTGAGGAATTCCTCTGTGAGCCTGCACAAAATCCTCACTGCAGTGACATTCAGGTCCAGAAGGGGCTGCTGAGGTCCAACAGAGACTTCCATGACAAGTATGGGGTTGCTTCAGAAGCTAGGGAACTCTGAACTATGCTTCATGAACATGTGTTCATATGTCAGCCCTGTGGTTTCCTCTCCCAGCCAAAGAAATCCTCTAGAGGCCCCTCTCTATCATATTCTATTAAACTTATTATTTCTTTACTCATGAGAAAAACACAGAATTTACCACAGACACTGTAAGCTGCAGATTAGCATCTTATTATCAGAGACTGAGATTAACTATAATTATAATATATTATATCAAGTGTATAATTTCATTTGTTCAATATATGTGAATGCACATACATGGATATATGTGTGCACCTGTGTGTGTCCATGTGTGTGCATGTATGTGTGCATGAGTGTGTGTGCATGTGTGTGAATGTGTGTGCATGAGTGTGTGCACATGTATGAATTTGTGTGCATGTGTGTGTGAGTGTGTTTGCATGTGTGTGTGCATGAGTGTGTATTAATGTGTGTGCATTTATGTGTTAATGTGTGTGCATGAGTGTGTGTACAAGTGTAGGTGTGCATGAGTGTGTGTGCATGTGTGCATGTATGAATGAATGTGTTTCCATGTGTGTGCCTGTGAGTGTTCTTGTGTGTGTGCATGAGTGTGTGCATGTCAGTGTGCATGAGTGTGTGCATGTGTATGAGCATGTGTGCATGTTTGTGTGCATGAGTGTGTGCATGAATGTGTGCATGTGTGTGGGTGAGTGTGTGCATGTGTGTGAATTTGTGTGCACATATGTATGCATGAGTGTGTTTGCATGTGTGTATGAGTGTGTAATAATGTGTGTGCATGTGTGTTAATGTGTGTTAGCATGAGTGTGTGTGCAAGAATGTCTGTGCATGAGTGTGTGTGAATGTGGTTGCATATGTGTGCATGTGTTTGCATGTGTGTGTGTGCATGTATGTGAGCATATTGTGTCCATGTATATGTGTGTGCATGTGTTTGTGTGTTAATGTGTTGTGTGTGTTTGTTCATGTGTGTGTAAGTGTGTGGATAAGTGTGTGCATGAGTGTGCACATGTGTGTGCACCTGTGTGTGGGTGTATGTGTTAATGTGTGTGTGCATGTGTTTCTGTTTGCATGTATTTGTGCGTGTGCTCATGAATCTGCATATATTTGTGTGTGTGTTCATGTGTGTTTGTATTTATGTGTGTATGTTTGTGTGTGTGTGTGTGTGTGTGTGTGTGTGTGTGTGTATAAGTTGATTTATTTATATCTCAAAGGGAGTCTGAAATGGATCTTCATAAGAAAACTTGGCACTTCTGATTAATCTCTAGTTTATCCTGTTTTATTTTGAATGAGTCGGAGAAACCACAAGTTCATGAAATATTATTGACTTTCAAAGACACATTGGAAACTGAAATATCCATAGATTATTTGTTCTACAGTTAGAGGTACCAGTAAAACTGTGTAATTGGTTATAATTTTTACAGATTCCATTTTTATACACTTGCATCTTTGTAGAAATAAGATGGCACTTCAAACTCCCAAGTCATGATGCCTCTAAAGTTGTGTCCTGCACAACCAATCTACAGATTCTCCTGCTCAGTGTGTACATGTCAGCTGGTGTCATCTCCAGTCCTGGTTCAATCTCCCCTGGGTCCTTCCCATAGGCTACTGAGTTCTGTGATTTTCAATTATTGCTTTTGCTGACCAAAAATCTCTAGAGTTCCTCCTCTGGAAGTCTCTGTTGCTGCTGACTGGAACAGACTGGTGTCTCCTGTGTGAGCGGAGCAGTTTCATTGAGAGAAGCAGTGTGGGCTGTGGGCTCCAGGTTAATGGATCATGGACTTGTGGCACTGTAAAAAGGAAAAGAGAGTCTGTATATGTGAGGCTGAGGCTTCTCTGGAAACTCTGGAAGTGACACCAATAGTATGTGAGGAAAATTTGGAGACCAAACTGAATATAATCTTAGAATTCTGACAACAGAACATAGGACAGTGACATGAACAACTCCACAGGATCCTGAACACACAGGATCCACTATCATGTTACCCAGGGTGAGGGTGAGGATCAGCCTACATGGATGCTCCTGAAATGAGCAAGCAAAAGTGTTTAATCAATTTTTTATACCTAAAACCTATCAGAACAAACGCCTCTCAGATCTAATCGCAAGGATTTCTCTTTTGATCAAGAAAATACAAAGTTATCTGGGAGAGTCTGACAATATGACAGCATAAGCCCTGAAAACCTTGGTACAAGAGTGGCATGTGTTCCTGTAACGTTTCTCCCTAATTCTTCTTGATGAGATATTGTCTCATTAGGGTAAAGTAACAGCTAAGCAAAAGTGAGTGGATAGTTTATACATCATGTGTAGGATCATCTGTAAGTGGATTTTTTAAAGTAAGTGAAAGACCCCACCAGTTCTTAGGTGGATGGGAAGATGGTGCCAGAAAAAGTGACCAACTAAGTCACTTATAATTAGCAGCCTCCATTAATCATTTGCTTTCTGAATTTATTGCTTCAAAAATCACTAAACTTCTTTTATTATTTTTCTTTACTCTTCAGTATCTCCACATTTATACTATAAAAGTACACTATGTCATATTATTCTATCCAAAATCTGAACATCTTAGAAAATGGAGCTCTACCTACCTCTTACTTATTGAAGCAGACTTAGGGCTGCCCATATGGGCATGTGGGTGGAGCCAAGGACTGCAACATAGGAATCCTACCATTGGCTCCACCCTCAAAAATACAATGGATCTGTTTCTTGTTCAGAAAAATACATTTTCAAATACTCCTCAGTAAAAATAGAGCCAAGAAATCATCATGCCTACCTATAACAGAGATTTGGCATGACTTGACTCCAGTTAGGGTTATACAGGTGACAACAGCCATGATGAGTTCATGAATGTGATAGCCGTGTTATGTCCAGAAGACAACATTTAACAGCAGTCCTCCCTGTGCTCCACTCTATACTTTCTTCCCTCCTCCTCTTCCTCAGTGATCTCTGAGCCTTTAAGGAACTTGAATGACACTAGAAATCTGGTATCACACAGAATATTAGGACAGGGAAGGACAGTTCCTGCCATGTAGAGAATCCAGTTGGTGAATTGGAGACTGTGTCTTTTGAGTGTTCTCTCTTTTGTTTTGTAAGCTTTGAAACTAGAATGGAAAAGGCATGGTGAGGCATCTTTTTTTTAATATTTATTTTTATTTTATGTTGTCTTAAGGTTTTTATTGCTGCAACAAAATATCATGACCAAAAACAAGTTTGGGAGAAAAGGGTTTATTTCACGTACATTTCTATATCATGTGTTTCCACTGGAGAAAGTCAGGACAGA